GTCCTGTGTCCCCAGCTTGCCACTGTACTAAGTCACTCCAGGAGGGAGGACCCCCTCAGTCAGACTCAGGCTGTTCTATTGGGGGTCCAGCTGCAAACCTGAGGCCTCAGTGTCCTTGTTGTCTGAAGAACGAAGGTGGGAGACCAGCACCATCCCTATTGCTGTCGGGATGGCTAACTGGCCATAGGATTGAGGTCTAACATGGCTGGCCAAATCCCACCAAAGCCTGTCAGCTCCTTAGAGATGGGCTTCGTTTTATGTCAAGAGGAGCCTGGACAGGGCCACCCATACACTCCTGTTCCCCACTGCACTGTCTGATCCCTGAAGGCCTATACAGGGCCAGCAGTTCCATAGGCAGTAGTCCCTTCCTCACCCCGCCTCCAGACTACTCCTGAATCTCCTCAACCTCCCTAGGGTCTCTTCCCTATGACTGAGAGTCTTTTTGAGGCTGTTTTTGCCCTGAGGAAATCTGAGCAGAAAGGAGCAGGCCTGCCAGCCACCACTGAAAATTGTCTCTCTGGTAGTGGTCTTGTTGGGAGAGGCCTGGGGGCTACCATAACACTATCCAGGATCAAGGGCTCCCAGTGAACTGGCTGGACTGGCCAGGCTGTGTAGGAACCGGTCTGGCAAGCTTGGCCCTGGAACCTCCAGGAAGCCCTAGCTGGGAGGGGCCCAGGCTGAGCACAGCTGGCCGGCCTCACACCCGCCTGGCACCAAGACCAGGCAACCTGCCCGGTCTGTAGACGGCTTGGTGAGGCCTCCCCAGAGTGTCCTGAGTGACCAGACTGGCCAATGAGAGAGGCTGGGAGGAGCTATAGCCACCTGTGCCAAATGGGCCCGAAGAGAGGGTGGCACAGACCAGGTCATGCTGGTCATGCTGTCCTCTGCTGACCCCAGATGTGTCCCAGGTGCCCTGGAGGGCCAGTTCTCTGAAGTGCCTCTAGATGCTTGGGCCATGAGGGACAGGCAGTTCTCCATCCCCTGAGTCTTTTCCTTGCCTCCTTTTATCTTTCCTTGAACGTCTCCTTCCCCTCTTACTTCCCATCCCTGCCTCTCTATCTTTGTATCTTACACAAGCACACACGTGATCGTGCCCTGCCTCCATGCTCAGTATCTCATCATCTGTTAAGAGAACGATGGGCAGACCAACTGTCTCCTCCCTGGAGGGGTCAGAGGTGAGAAGATATTACAGGGGAGGAAGGCTTTGTCTGGTGTTGAAGCTTCTCCCTGCAATGGGGTGGGGAGGGTGGTTCATGCCCTCTAACTTGTTCCCCCTGCCAGTCCCCAAGTGAGGACAGCATGTTTGGAGCATTTGGGGATCTAAGAGCTACTCGTTCTCAGGGAGGAACTCAGAAGCTCTGTCACACCCCCACAGGGTCTCCGGGCAGTCCAAAGGTTTTTGCCAGGCTCACCCATGTCAGTCAGAGGGGGCTGACTCAGCACTCTTCCTGCCAGGCAGTGATGCTGATCACAAAGCCATGGAGCCCAAACACCTGGTCCCTCCCACCCATAGAAGGGAGCCTACCCATGCAGGACAGACATTTTGGCTGTCATTGTGCTAGGTAGGCATCAGGCCTCTGGATAGACATGAGGCCACCACATTCTCAGAGCTTGTGGCCAGACCTGTATTCACTCATTTTGACCACAGGCTCAAGTTTCCCAGTGGTGGGTACCCAGACCAAGACAGGGTAGCTAGGGTACAGTCACCCCTGGACATGTGCTCATGCTGGACTGACAGCCCAGTCTGACTATCATAGAAGAAGGGGTCCCACAGGGGATAGACAAACCTGGAGTGGGGGTTACTGTCTGGCAGAGCCTGAGTTGTGGGAGCTGCACCCTTAGTCACCTTTGGAAATGAGCCCTGCCAAAGCCAAGATAGTGAGGGACCCTCAGGTTGGGATCCCCAGTCTTTGTTACTGCCCAAGAGGCCAGCGTGGCCATGCTGCTGCCTAGTGAAATCCTGGGGCCTGAATGGTCTGTGGGCTGGAAGTCAGTCTCTCCTGTGGCAGGGCATTACAGTGTTATAAGCTGTGTACTGTGCAGTTCTTGCACTGGGCTAGGTAGATGTATATACCCAAGACCTGCCCCACTGAACTCTTTTGTATGTATGCATATATGTGTGGGTGCACATATGTGCACGAGTGCTTGGAGGTCAGAGGACAATCTTGAGTGTCATTCTCAGATGCCATCCACACTTCAATTGTTTATTTAGAGGCATGATTTCTCACTGGGCTGGAGTGTGCCAAGTAGGCTAGACTAGCTGGCCAGGGTGCCCCAGGAATCCACCCACCTCCACCTCCCCAGAGATGGCTGGGATTACAAATGATCACCACTACACGCCAACCTTTTATTTTCTTGGAAGGGGCATTTTCTGTATTTTTGGTTTTTTTGAGACTGTTTCTTTGTGTCCTGGAACTCATTCTGTTGATCATACTAATCAAACTCAGAGATCCAACTGCCTGTGCTTCCCTAGTCTTGGGATTAAAGACGTGCAAAATAACTGCCCAATTGTGGGGGGAGGTATTTTTTTTTTAAATTACTTCTGGGGAATCAAACTCAGGTCCTCCTGCTTGCAAGGCAAGCCTATTATCAATTGAGCTATCTTTCTCCAACCTGAATTTATTATTTATTTATTTATTTATTTATTTATTTATTTATTGCTCTTCTTGTTTAAAGATGGAGTCTGTCTGTATCACCAAGGCTGGGCTTGAATGCATGGTGAATACCATAGGCCTGGCTCTAGACCTCTTCTCAGGTGTTCACATTTCATATGCTTGGACCACTTGGCTGGTGGAGGTGGGGAGCTACAGATAAAAACATCTGCTCTTGTTCCTGTCCTGGCTTCATGGAGGGCCAAGACAGTCCCAGTGACCACAGTTCTCAGGAGACCAGTATTTGCTGGTGCAGATATTCTTGGCCAGAAGAGGCAGTGTCTGTCTAGGTGCCATGGCTATCCCTGATGTCCTGAGAAGCCAGTGTGACCTCTTGGATCCTCAGGAAGCTCAGGCAGGGGAGGCAGGGTTGTTGTCTGGACCACTATGCCCTGATCAGCCGGCAGGTTTGCTGACAACTGTGTAGGTGGGTAGACCAGAGCTGTCCCTGTTTGCAGAGGCTCTGTGATAGAAAGCATCTCCCTGCCCCCAACCTGACCTCCCTTGCCGGGAGGGACAGACCTGTGGTCTGCAGAAAAGCCACTGTGGCACAGGCCCTGCCTGCCATATCCCACACAGAGTAGTGACTACAAGTTTCCTGACCAGGGTTTTGTGACTTTAAAAGCTGAGCGTGCTTTGGGGGGAATTAAATACCAAAGGACGCCTGACGACGGCTGGAAAACGGCAGCTGCTGCTGTTCATTCCCAGCCGATTTTCCTTCCTCAATTGAAACATCATTTTCTTTGTTTTCCTTTTGACAGAAATGTGGATTCATCTTGAGGAGGAGGAGAAAGGAGCTACAGAATGGTGTACTGTCTGAAGGGCAGACTTGGGGAGTGATGCTCAAAGTAGTTTGGGAGATAGGCTGTCAGGGTCTGCCCCGTGGGAAGAAAAGCAGAGGGCGGGTCCAAAGTCCTCCTGTGACCTGGTGAAAGGTGCTTGTGGCTGACGAAAGGGGTTGGGATATTTGGGCCACTGGTCTCAGAAACTCAAGCTCACCTCAGCCTCAGGCTCTGGATGGTGGACAGCAGCGCTGAGAATGTGGGTTCCATAGCTCTGACGCCCATAGCTCTGACGCCCACAGCTCTGGCGCCCACAGCTCTGGCGCCCACAGCTCTGGCGCCCACAGCTCTGGCGCCCACAGCTCTGGCGCCCACAGCTCTGGCGCCCACAGCTCTGGCGCCCACAGCTCTGGCGCCCACAGCTCTGGCGCCCACAGCTCTGGCGCCCACAGCTCTGGCGCCCACAGCTCTGGCGCCCACAGCTCTGGCGCCCACAGCTCTGGCGCCCACAGCTCTGGCGCCCACAGCTCTGGCGCCCACAGCTCTGGCGCCCACAGCTCTGGCGCCCACAGCTCTGACGCCATAGCTCTGGCGCCCACAGCTCTGGCGCCCACAGCTCTGACGCCCACAGCTCTGACGCCCACAGCTCTGACGCCCACAGCTCTGGCGCCCATAGCTCTGACGCCCATAGCGGCACACAGACCTAGGCCACTGACCTTGACAAGGGGCTTTGGGAAAATAGAGAGGGTAAGCACCTGTCTTGTGAGTCCCTGGAGAGTCACTGGCTTAGTGACCCACATCCCAGGGCTTCAGAGACACAGGGGCAGGGATGAAGCAGGTCATGGGGGTCTGTGGAGCAGTGATCCAGTGGGGGAAGTCACTGAGCAATATGCAGCGGTGGTTTCTGTGGGCAGTGCTAGTGTGTTGAGCATGGACCTGGCATGTGTCATCAAGTTGGGAGCTGAGCCTTGATACCCCTTCCTGTGGCTTAATTTCTTCAGGAAAGAGAGAGTGGTTGGCCGGGTGAGAGGGTAGGCTGTACTGGCAAGTGACTAGGATAACCCAGGAGGGAGTGGACCAGGATGAGGCAGTGCCATGTCCTGCATTGCCCAGCTGGGCCCACATATGGACCAGTGAGCCCAGCCAGCTAAGGGCTGACAGCCACAGTTCTGAAGCCAAGAGGTGGGGGTTTCTGTAATGGAGTAAGCCCTCCCAGGGATGCCTTCTGTGTGGGCTAATGGCTTCCTCAGCAGCCACTGGGTCCCTTAGTGGCAACTGTGTGATTCTCTCCAACTACCCAACCTTTCCAGGGCTGGGGAGGAGGGACTGGGCAAGAAGTGCCATGAGGATCTGAGCTGAGGCTGGCCATGCTGGATGTCACGGTTACCCCATCTCTGCTTTCTCATGCACACTTCCATGGGCCTGGAAATCGTGTGGGTAGGGCAGATATGAGGGTTCTCAAAGGGCACCGGGGCACTGAGTCCTTCCTGCATGCCACAGGACTCCGACTCAACTCAGGGCTAAGGCCCAAGGCCTGCTGGAAGGGCCCAGGAGTGTGCACTCTGAGTTGGTATGGAGAGCTTTATTGAAGTGGGTAGCTGTGGAGCTCACGAGGGCCAGCTCCCAACTCCCAGGCTGTTCAGGAACAGAGGGTGTGCTCCCTGGGGGAGGCAGCATGAGCCTCTATTCAGGGGAGGGTGGCCCTCTCTTGAGGGTGCTCTTGGCTCCTTTATGTCCATGGGCCAGGAGTGGCCTCTAGTTTAGAGCTTCCGGGTGATCTTCAGGGACGTGGGGCCCCTGGCTGTCCCTCTTTGCCAAGACTCGAAGGTGTTTGAAGGCAGTGGGCAGCCTGTGGCCCAGGAATGGTGGAGTGGTCTCATCAGAGATCATGACCACATACTCCCCTGTGAGGGATAAGGAGGGATGCCATCAGGCTCATGTGGCTGCTATAGCTCAGGCCTTGTCATCTTTGCCTGCCACTATTTTCTCAGGCCCCTACACTAGGACCCTGGGCCAGACTGCCATCCTGAGGCTGGGTGTTTGGTCAGCAGGGTGAAGATGTGTGTTTAAGGCACAGTAACCAGCTTCCCAGACCCAGGCATCCTGGAGACTGAGAGGACAGATGTGTGGACAGTCCTCAGGGTCAAGCCACAGAGCCCCCTGCTCCCAACTGCTAATTAGGCCACATGGCTGAGTCTTCTTGTAAATTCTCGTGCTTGCATTGTTTTTGGAGAAAACGCATTCATTTTCTCTAAATGTTTAAGAAATAGCGGGGCTTCTGAAGGTTTAAGGTG